CTTTCAGTTTTGTGCAACAATCGGCCAATCTGTTTCTAATCAACAGAAAAATGTAAAATTTTTCGTACATGTATTAGCCAGAAATCCTGCATCGATTTTAAAAAATCAGAAACTGTTCAAAAGATATCAATTGGGGATCGTGCTGATTTGTTTTAAGAGATCGGTCGGATCGTTTCTTCGTGTTGAATTGTTAAATATTTCGTTACGATGATATTTTTAAAACTTTATTGCCGATAGTGATCACGGTCTCAAAAATAACTAAATATTTCGACACTATGGTAAGTTGTTTTAATTTTTAAAATATTATCAAAGTTTGAAAAAAAGAGCAGCGTGAGTTTTTACGTGAGTCAAAATTACATCTTTAGTCGACGTTTCCTTAAAAATGCATAATCCTATTTAAAAATCAATTTTTTTTGTCCACGTTATATATAGCCTACATTCGTGAATCGATTTTGAAAATTCAAAAATTCAAAAACCATTACAAACGTTCTATTTGAGAATCGTGCTGATTAAATTTTTACAATGATCGACGAGTCGTTTCTCAGTTATTGATTAATAAATTTCTTTGGCAATTTTGGAACCTGCTTTTAATGAATATACTACAGTTTGTTTCTTGTTCAATAATATGTAACTTTTAAACTATTTATAAAAAATAACTAACATTTTTAGAAAATTTGTACAAAATTTAATAATCTGCGATAGTTTTTCACATTGCAATGTACTCTTGAATTAAAATATTTTTTATATTTAAGTGGATTATTTACACATGTTGGAGAGTTCACGCAACTTGCCACTTACACCAAGTTTATACAATTAAAAATTATTTGTGAACAGAGCTTAGAGTTGCCTGTTTTTGATTCGGTCTGTATATATTTATAAAAAAATCAACAAATGTTTTCTATAAACAAATGGAGTAATCAATTTATCACCATTTTTATTATTAGGCTAATCACAGTACCTTTTATGAGACAGCAAGGAGTCTTTCTCTATCATGACTCAAAAGAGTTAGATGCGAAAATTTTAAGAATGCCATTTAAGGTAAATATTTATATATATATATATATATATATATATATATATTATATTTTATTTACATTGTATTTCTTCAAAGGGTGGAAAATTCAGTGCGATATTCATTCTGAGAAACGGATTACAACATTTACAACAGAATTTGAACGCCCAACTTCTGAGGCAGCAATTGTGGCTAATAGATGAAGTTGAACTCAATGTTACCTTACCAAAGTACAAGTTTGATTTTAAAGCAAAACTTGTTGATACTTTAAAAGAGGTAAGGCCTCTACTGATCGAGAGCATCATTATTTAGAATTATTCGATTTGAAATTGAAATTTTGTTATTTAGATGGGCCTGCAGTTGAGTCCAACTACGTCCTCAGTCCTCACTGCCTGGTATTGCAAGAGGGCTATCGCCACAGGAGATACATTATCAATATCTGGCATAATGCAAAAGGCTGGCATTGAAGTTAGCGAGTTAACGAGAAAGGAAGTACAGTATATGCTGCTACAGGTAATGATGTATATTAAATGATACATACACAGGCACCCTGTATATGTCTTTTCTTTATATGTGTATAATATTACATTTTATTCTTTAGAAATTGTCCTGACCAATAAATTTGGCAACGATCGCGAGGTATTCTTCTCGGCAACAAGACCTTTTACGTTTTTCATTCAAGACGAGACAAGTGGAACAATTCTATTCACAGGAGAAGTTTTAAAACTTCAATTGAACGCATTAGAAACTAGTAATGAATGAAAATAATCAAAAATTGTTATTAATAATATATCTTCATTTTGTTTTTCATCTTATTGTCTTACAATAAGCATCTTAATAATTGAATATCATAATATACATTACATAATAAATAATGAGAAATGTATGGGTATTAGCAGTCCATGTACGAGGTGTGTTCAAAAAGTACCCGGAATTACTAATAATTAAATTTTGCGGGTCTGGAGTGTCTGATTGTTAAATTTTTTTTTTATTGTGTTGGTATACATGCCCCTAAAGTATGATGAAATTTTCAGCTATATTCACTGTTTACTTTGTCTGTGGTAGTCGCTAAGGTTCGACGTGTTTTTCTGAGCTCGGCGATTTTTACAATGGAAGAATTGAAAAGTCAAAGAATTTGTATTAAATTTTGCGTAAAAAATGAAATAAAGTGTTGCAAAGTGCAAAAATTTACCAGATATGGCTCCGTGTGACTTTTTCCTATTCCCAAAGTTGAAGAGACCCATGAAAGGACGGCGGTTTTCCTCGATTGAAGAAAATCGCTGAGAGTGCTCAAGGACATATCAAAAAGTGAATATCAAGGGTGCTTCGAAAATTGGAAAAAACGCTGGCATAAGTGTATTATATCTGGGGGGGACTACTTTGAAGGGGACCAGTTTAATGTAGACGAATAAATAAATATTTTTTTGAAAAAACGAAAATTCCGGGTACTTTTTGAACAGACCTCGTATATAAGGTCTATGGTTAAAACAGGTAAAATAATAGGAGGGAATTGGCAAAGCGGGCGCTGGGGATCCCTGGTAATAATGTGTTTTAAATTATTACTAAGAAAAATGTAATTAAGATATTATAATTACTAAAAACCTTAAAAATTGTAGGCAACATTATTGGAACAATTAGAAAAAATCCAAAGTAGTATTGTACTTTTACCGCGGATACTATATATTAATTTTTTCTGAATTTGTTGTACCGTTTAAAAGACTTTAATTTCCAATTTAGTGTAGAAATTGAGACTCATCATTTTATTTAAAGCAGTTAAGAACATTTAACATCACTTATATTGATGTATATGCATTTTGGTGTGAAGAGTAATTTAAAAAACATATTTATTATTTTTAGGTAAACTGTAAATATAAATAGAGGATTGTAAAAAATTGTAGACGTGAGTACAGGACAACGCCTGTTGGATTATCTAATATACATATTAAAATTTAATTAATTTTTTTATGTAATTTATTTATCGACATCCAGGTAGAATTTTCTCAACGTTGTATTCTCCTCAGGAAATTGTTTTCTCCATTCGCCTTTAAAGTAACTTGTAACATTGGGGACACACTGATTCATAATGGCAGCACTATCGTATTTGGTGACAGTACCATCACTGTTATTTTTATTTATTCCATTTGTGAAATCTATAGATACGATATCCGAGTCGCAGAACATTTTGGCAATCGCGTTGAAGCGCTGGTCGAAATCTAGATGGTAGGCAGGATTCTTGGCCTGGAGGAATAAATAGTAATAAAAATATAAATAATATTAACAACGTTTGAATGTATTCAACCTTTAGTGAATCTATAATTTTTCCTGCACGTTCCCCGTTGCTCTGGTAACTATCAGGATAGGAGAGTAGTCTCAAAATTTCCAACTTTTGTCTGATATTTTGGCCTGCAGTAATATAAATTTGAGAAATATATAATTATCTTTACAAGCATAAAAAAGCTAAAGTTATGCAACGTGTATTTAAACAAGATTTTAAATTTATGTATAGCATAGTATTACAGTGTGTATATATTTACTTGCGTTTTTATATATACAAAAACTTTATAATGTTTGTGATGTGTATGTGTGTGTGTGTGTGTTTCGACATATATCTAGTATCACATTTCTAAAAATAAATTTTTAATTTTCTATATTTTGAAAATTGGTTTTATTTTATTATGAACACCATTTAAGCTGTTTAAAGAATATTTTTATAATTAACACATGTATACATAATTTTGAATTGTGTAGTTTATTATTATATATTATGATCGCAGTAAATTTAGATTTGAAACTTGTTTGATAAATGAAAATTTTGTTTAAACTTTTGTTTCATTGTAAAACTTATACTAACTCATAAAATCAATATGTAATCATATAGATTACTGTAATAATTTTTTTATAAAATTAGTCTTAAGTAGTTATAAAATAATTTTTTATTGAAATACACTTGTAAAAATTGTTATAATCAATTAAAATAATCATAAAATGTAAAAAGTAGTATTTATTATATGTCATTCATTTAATTGTTTTTCAACTTTGCAAAGGAGTGGTTTGTTTTCACTAGATAATTCAAATTACTTATTTTGTGTTCTCTCACAGAATGTCATTTAATTTTGATTATTTAAAATAAACGAAATTTAAAGAAAAATGTTATATTAAACATTTTTTTAATTAATTTTTTTTTGACCTCGGTTTGATTTTATTATATTTCAAAATATTTAACCAACTCTACTCTCAATAAGTACACAGTAAGACTCTTTTGCGCTAACTTTGTTAGTTTACAAATGTTTTGTGGCTAGTTTGTATCATCATTAGTAATTTTATTGTAAACCAATAAGTTAAAACTTGAAAAAAAATTGTATGTTTGTATTTATATAATATTTACTGCTTCACGTGTTGCAGGAATGTAGAACTAAATTTTTTATCAAAATTTAAATGCAATTCCACTAAACTATTATGATTTTATTAGAAAATTGCTTTTGTTAATAAATTTCAAAATTATTCATATATATGAGTAATATATAAATAAAACAGTGAAAACTTGTCTGTATATTTAAAAATGTAAAAATATTTAACAAATTTTATACCTGAGAAAGGAAAAGCAAACAAGTGTACTGTAAAACACAGGTTAGTGAAAGAAAATAAAATTTATTCTACACCAAATTTATTTATTTCAATAACCAACGACTAATTCATTGCAGTGTAAATTTTTAGAGAGTTTATTAAAAGAATGGAATATGGTAAACGGAGTATGGTTAAAATAATGGAAATATACGTTGTTTAATTTATAAAACCCTTATTGTTAAAATTGAAGATTCAAATAAACGTCGTTTCGATTTCAAAACAGAAGAGGCGTTCGAGTTTCTGAAACGCCATCTTCGACCGAGCGAACGTGCACGCTCTGCAGTCGCACGTCTACAAGTCTTTTGCACATCTATGCTTTGCGACTATAGGAGTTGGGAGAGGGAGTTGTCTTGTCATTGCAAGAGTTCATTCCCATCGTGGCGATTGCTGGAAGAACACAACCAGACGTCGTCGAACACGGACGAGCGGGCCTGACCCTTCGCAGCCTGTGGAGAACGTCACCTGCGAGCGTCACCTGGTACGTTGCACTTGTGCTAATTATATTTCTATTTGCGGATTCACTCGGATTTCATTTCGTGTTTTCGAGTTTTAAGATGTTTTAGATTTAATTAAAATCTTTTCTCATTGCTGTTTTTTTGTTTTGGAAAACGTGTGCTCGATTTATGTAGTTTTTGCTCAAGTCGTACTACTGTCTAAGACGTACGCCGGATACATTTTATCTAATTATTTTATTTTGCATCATTTGGTGCCCACTGTTAAATAAAACTACATACTATTATTTTGTTGACTGAACAAGAGTTCACAATTGAATGGCTGGCGGTCATTGTGCAGAAGAAATAATCGAAAGTGGTAGTAAAAAGTTGTGAAAGTAAAAAATGACTGATAATTCATTTTGAGAATTACTATGAGTACATTTATACGGATCGTTTAATTTGAAGTCTTATTTACATCATTACCATCTGCTAATTCACTTCAATTTATAGATCAGAAGTATTGTGTAAATTGGACCACAATCATCATGTCATTAAAAATTTTAAAGCAAAATTACTTTTCGATGAGAGCCATTTTTTATTTTCAATGCATAATTTTATTTCTTTTACTTGAAAAAAAGTTACAATTTGAACAACAAATTGACAAAGAATAGTTACAATTTGAATGGATATAAAGATGCAAATAAAGACTATTCTATGCTTCGCTGGAGCGCTGCATAGCACACGAAGACAACTTTGGTGACGCATCAACAATTACATTTAATAATGTATGTATAATCGACTAAATTCATAAATAATTTGTGTATTTTGCAGGTGCGGGTAGGTTTGCGTTTGCTGCTACCAGAGTCTTTCAGTTTTTATACGAACATTGTTACTGTGACGCTCTGAATGTGGTATTTATTGGAATTGCATTTGGCACGAATAGATTTATTAAGCGATGATTTTGTTCAAGATATTAATTGATCAATACTTTAGTTGTCACTATAACTTTTAGAAATTTAGAAAATCATTAAGGCATTGAATTTCATGATTCGAATGATCACGATATGTCTTGCATGTGGGTTAATTTATTAGTTGGGTAGCATCAGTAGTTTTATTATTAATAATAACAAATACTAATACACTAATCTATTTAACCATTGAAAAATAATGTGGTCGTTTGAATCATTTGAGATTATGCAATGTGGATTTGACATATTACATTAAATTATTGACATATTAAATTTTAATTTTCACTGTTTTCAATTAATTTTAATGCATTTCATATAAAACCAAGTGCAATTCTTAAACTGCTAGTAAATTTCTACATTCTATTTCTGATCATCAAGATAAAATCACATGGATATGGAGGCCACAAGATATCATATCAAGCAAATTGTTGAGTATCGAATGGCCAAGTATCGAATAAAATTGAATGCTGACTCACTTCACCGGGAATCGCTCTGAAAATAATTTAAAAAGTACGTTTTAATCCATAATCAGTATAAATGTGAACAATAAATAACATGTTTATTTTTTTTCAGATACTTTCAACCACTGCTGCTCTGCTCACTGACCCCTTCACCAGGAATCGCTCTGAAAATAATTTAAAAAGTACGTTTTAATCCATAATCAGTATAAATGTGAACAATAAATAACATGTTTATTTTTTTTTCAGGTCCTTTCAACCACTGCTGCTCTGCTCACTGACCCCTTCACCAGGAATCGCTCTGAAAATAATTTAAAAAGTACGTTTTAATCCATAATCAGTATAAATGTGAACAATAAATAACATGTTTATTTTTTTTCAGATACTTTCAACCACTGCTGCTCTGCTCACTGACCCCTTCACCAGGAATCGCTCTGAAAATAATTTAAAAAGTACGTTTTAATCCATAATCAGTATAAATGTGAACAATAAATAACATGTTTATTTTTTTTCAGATACTTTCAACCACTGCTGCTCTGCTCACTGACCCCTTCACCAGGAATCGCTCTGAAAATAATTTAAAAAGTACGTTTTAATCCATAATCAGTATAAATGTGAACAATAAATAACATGTTTATTTTTTTTTCAGGTCCTTTCAACCACTGCTGCTCTGTACACTGACCCCTACACCAGGAATCGCTCTGAAAATAATTTAAAAAGTACGTTTTAATCCATAATCAGTATAAATGTGAACAATAAATAACATGTTTATTTTTTTTTCAGGTCCTTTCAACCACTGCTGCTCTACACACTGACCCCCTTCACCAGGAATCGCTCTGAAAATAATTTAAAAAGTACGTTTTAATCCATAATCAGTATAAATGTGAACAATAAATAACATGTTTTTTTTTTTTTTCAGATACTTTCAACCACTGCTGCTCTGCTCACTGACCCCTTCACCAGGAATCGCTCTGAAAATAATTTAAAAAGTACGTTTTAATCCATAATCAGTATAAATGTGAACAATAAATAACATGTTAATTTTTTTTTCAGATACTTTCAACCACTGCTGCTCTGCTCACGGACCCCTTCACCAGGAATCGCTCTGAAAATAATTTGAAAAGTACGTTTTTATCCATAATCAGTATAAATGTGAACAATAAATAACATGTTTATTTTTTTTCAAGGTCCTTGCAACTACTGCTCTGCACACTGACCCCTTCACGAGGAATCACTTTGAAAATAATCTAAAAAGTATGTTTTTATCCAAAATCAGTATAAATTTGAACAATAAAAAACATGTTCATTTTTTTTCAGGTCCTTACAACTACTGCTGCTCTGCACTCACTACTTCGCCAGGAATATTTCCAGAAACATTTTACCAGGTATGTGTTTATCCATACCAGCATAAATGGAAACATTCCTAAAATGTTTCTTTCTTTTTTGCAGATCTTCTCGATCCAACTATTACTGCCCTGAAGCTCTAACACGTGAATGACTCGCAAGTGGTTTTTTTTAATAACTGCCTATAATTATGCATGATTAACTTAACTCTTATTAACTCAATAACATGACTAACCTCACTAACTTAAGCAGTTATTATAAATACCACTTGTTGAGTTTTACTATGAAGATTTTACTGAGGTTGCTTGGAAGACGGGGGTGAATGATTAATCAGGTAATTTATTATTATAGTATATTTTATGAAACTTGTTACTAATTCATTATTTTTTATAGGGTAAACGACAACTTCAACCCAAGTGGTAAACTCTCAAGTTGCTCATGAGTGAGAACAATCATTTCATCTACTAATTATGCTGTCCGTCCGTCCGTCTTGTCACCAAAGAAGATGCCTACTGTGATCTATTGAATAGTTAAGTGCTTAGATGTTAATGAAATAATGAATAAATATATTGCATTTGATTTAATTTGTTGTTTTAATTGAATTATGAGCCACTTTACGGCCAAATTACATTATGCTGTAACGTAAGTTACAAAAATATTTCAACATGTCTAAATTTTAAAAAATTTTTGTGTTATTAATAGGGATACTTATTGAATGCACTTTTTAGTGTAGACAATTGTGTAGAACAGCTTCTTTACTGTTTGGGTGTTTGCAACCACCTTGCCGCATCTTGGTTAAGCTCTTTATACCTTTGCTTTGACTCGGTAGAACTCTGCGTCATTGCTTTGACTCGGTAGAAACGCGTTGATAATAGACTTTGTTTTTTTGCAAACCCCTATGTTAGTCGAGTGCCTTAAACATTTAATACGCCAGACGACCGATGTTTCCTCTTATTTAAATATTTTACTTTCTATTATTTCTTTAAATGGTGCACTCTTTTTCTTAGCTATAAATATCACTTAATTTAATGTCATACTGTGTTATTATTAATATATATATATAACACTATAATATATATATATAT